TACATATATCCTACAAATATTGGGGAGGATATATTACGTTTCTATACCCATCACCACAATGTGGTACAGGGTATTATGTCTTTGTGCATATGTTTGTAGCAGGCAAAAGGAAACGAGATAGACCCATAGTTCCTTTTGAGAATATGCATAGAATCACTTTCTGAGTTGATTTATGCATGTCCGTCTGTCCGTCCATGTATTTTTGTTAACAAAGTACTGGTCATAGCATTTTAAATTAAGCCTAGAACGATGTGTGTTAAAATCGGTTCATATTTAGATATAGCTCCATTTATATTTTCGTCCGATTTTAGTGAACCAAAATCCCTATATCCTTCGATTTGCACGAAATTTGGCAGAGCGTACTGAATTAAGTCTAGAACGATGTGTGTTAAATTTCGTGAAAATCGGTTCAGATTTAGATCTAGCTTCCATATATATTTTCGTCCGATTTTAGGTGTATAGTGAACCAAAGTCCCTATATACCTTCGATTTCCATGAAATTTGGCATAGCATTTTGAATTAAGCCTAGAACGATGTGTGTTAAAATTCGTGAAAATCGGTTCAGATTTAGATACAGTTCCCATATATATTTTCGTGCGATTTTAAGTATATAGGGAACAAAAGTCCCCATATATCCTTCGACTTGCACGAAATTTGGCACAGCGAACTGAATTATGACTAGAACGATGTGTTTTAAATTTCGTGAAAATCGGTTTAGATTTAGATATAGCTCCCATGTACATTTTCGTCCGATTTTATGAACATGGTGCACCAAAGTCCCAATATATCCTTCCATTTGCACGGAATTTTGGATTTATAAGTAAATGAAGAACTCAAAATGTGTCCGAACATGTGACAAGTTTCGATGAATCCCATTGTAAGAAGCAACTCTATATCTGACACAAAATTTAGTATAAGTTGCAGAATGATATGTTTAATGTCATGTCCTTCAAAAATTGCGACGTCTGTTAGGATCCCATCTGTTCAGTATACCCATCTGCATCTGTTACTTATCGAAGTAATCGTTTTAGACGCAATCACAATCAAGCGTAGATTTAATATCAATTTGTAATTCTGTTTGCAAAAACTCGAAATATTCGTCGGCGACTCCACACATTGTACGCTAGTACATCGCTAGTTCTCCTAGGATTTTTGGTATTGCAGATCTAGATGATACCATACCATACACCTCTATACCTCTGACCAATAAGGTTTACATAACACTTTGCAGGTTTATTCCCTGGTGGAATTTTTGTGATATTAAAAAATATGTGTTCTATGGGAAATTATACCTGCAATGGGATACAGCCCTCTTCCACTTATTTATGTTTAGAATAATCACGGCAGCTAGTTGTCCATAAAAAAAACAAAATTAATGGCTATATTAAATTTCAATTGACTTATTAAATTTCTTAAAAACCTTCAACATTGTCTCCCATAATGGGTGGTTGAAGGCTCTGCGCTCTAATTCAATTTCTATTTGTAATTTCGTATGTGGCTGTATGTTACTATGGCTTGGTGAAATGTGTGTGTGTTTATTTGAGTTTGAAATCTGAGGTCTTGTGTTATTCTAACCCAATTTATGGTTTTATTTTTCGTTCACTTCTGCTAATAATCTGAACAAATATTAACATTATTTTGGATCGAATCCAAGAGACTTTACAGTAAATGAAATGTGTGAGAACGGTGGAGATGAGAATACAAAACAAAAAAAAAAAAAAAACATTTTAATTCTCTGTACGTGGGTTATCGTTTCGTTTATCCATAGTCATGCAATTTTGTGGTTAAGATAGGTCATGCGTGGTACGTGTATCGGTTTTATATGAAAGGGCCTTTATGAATTTATGACACTCTTTGATAAGTTAGGAAAACATGAACAACTTTTTATAAAACTTAAAAATTAAATTTAAGTTATTCGGTTCATAGCTGCCAAATATAATTTCGACCGAATTCATGTAATCGGTGCGTCCCATAAAATATATATTCTTGAATAGAATGAATTTCTATGTCGTTTTAGTCAAGTCCGTCTGTCTATCCTAGGCGGAAGTAGCAATATTTGAGAAAGAGTGTTGAATTTAGAATTTTACATAGCTACTACTCCTCCGATGTTTGGTATTGAAAATGGGATATATCGACTTATATTTAAGGCTTATAAACTAGTCCCCAATATTCTGTATTTTAAAATTTTTATGAACATTTCATACCTATTCTGATGTAATTTGGTATTTTTATATCCTACACCATAACATGGAACCCATAAAGTATATATTCATGATCACAATAAAATTCGATGTCAATTTACGCATGTCCGCCTGTCTGTCCGTCTGTTGAAATCACAATAAAGACTGCAATATTTAAGATATAGCTCTGAAATTTTGCACAGACATTGCTGGTACTCCTTCGATGTTTGGTATTACAAATTAGATATATCGTTGAGCTTTGGGGTAGCCCCCATATAACGATACCACCCCATATATAGTATTTTGAGGATTTTGGACGCGCTTTGGTAATTTGGTATTTTGGGTTCTCATTGAGTAGCACACATCTGTACCAAAAATTATTTATATTGACCCAAGTATCAGGGTATCTACAATATAGCGTTACCCCCCAGTGTGTGGTATTCTAGGGGGTTTTCCACCTACTTGACAGTAATTTGGGTTTTCATTGAGTAACACACATCCGTACCAACTAAATTATTAATATTGGCTCAAGTTCCACGGTAGCCACTATATACCGGTACCCCCCAATATTCGGTATTTTGGAGATTTTGGGCACGATTGCCAATCGAATTGACTGTAATTTGGAATTTTGTGTTTTCATTGAGTACACATATCCGTACAAAAAATTATTCATATTGGCCCAAGTTGTTAGTAATCGGTATTTTGGGCACATTTCCAACCAACTTCGCTACAATGTTGTTTTCTAGGTTCTCATTGTATACCACATTTTCGTACCATTTTTGATACCCTCCACCATAGCATGGAGGGTATATTAGTTTTGTTTTTCCGTTTGTATCGCATGGAAATAATCATTTCCGACCCTATAAAGTATATATTCTTGATCAGCGTAAAATTCTACGACGATCTAAGCATGTCCGTCTGTCTGTTGTAATCACTCTAGCGTCTAAACGAATTGAGATAGAACGCTAAAATTTTTCATAGAGTCGTCTTTTGTCTGCAGGCAGGTCAAGTTCAGATTTTTTCAGTGAATTGACTGTAATTTAGTAAATTTTTTCAACCGAATTCGCTGAAATTTGGTATTTTGTAGTCGTATATGGTAACAAATCTCCCCACCAAAAATTATTAATATTCACCCCTTTTTAGGGTCAGTTTCCTATATAACCCCCTTTTTATATTAAAATATTTATCTCATTTGTTCCGTGTGTTGGGATTGGGTAGTCGTTACGTGGAATAGTCAATTTCTACCCTATAAAGACGTTTTAGGCATATGTTGTAAGCATTTCTCAAGATATTGTGATAAAAAAACTCAAACATGACAATAATGAAATATATCGGCAGACATTTAGGCATCTCCTCAATATAGTGATACCTCCAGAAGGAAAGAATTGAGATAAACAATTAAAATATTGGATTCAAAATTGGCATATACCGGTCATTAATAAGGCATTAATTATCATATAATGATATCCCCAAATATTCACAACTTCCTACACTATGCAATCAATATTGGTCCCCCTTTAGGCATAGCCTCATATAACTTTGTAATCTAAATTACTGTAGTTTGATGATTTTATACTCTACCATTCGTTATCAGTCCACTTTTTGGAGCTTACAGATTTCAGGAAAAATCGCCATTAAAATTGCTGAAATTTGTATTTGGTGTACATAAAGGTTTATATAAATCGGTTCGTAGAATTATCGATATATGCCGACTTTTTGGTATGTTCCCTATATTTCCATTGCATGTATCTGTAAGTATAATTATGGTGGAGGGTATCCAAAGTTCGGCCGAACTTAACGCCTGTTTAATATTGACCCAACTCATATGGTACTCTCAATATGGCGATTTTGAAACGTTTTTCAATAAAATTGGCTATAATTTGGTATTTTGTGTTCTCATAAAGTTATCACCACATCTCCGCACTAAAAATTACTAATATGGACCCATGTCGGTATTTAGAGAATTTTGAAAACGTTTTTCATGTCAATTGGCAATTCGGCAAAATATCTTAAAGACTAGGTCCTAAATACCTAAAAATATATCACAGTTACAGTTTTTCAATGGGAAAATATGTTTTCTTGTCCACAAACACAAAAATCGACTAGCTCATTTAGCATACGGAAAATATTTTGTGATCTTTATATTGGGGCTATGTTAAGAAAATGGACCTACAGTTTGGGTAGGTAATTAAACATATGGAATATACAATGTGATCTTCATATATAGGCACTATATCAGAATAAGAATCTACATTGAGAGATTATAGTAAATAAGTCATTGATCCACCTAGGCCTTGGAATGCTACATTACAGCTATTTTGTTTGACAATACGGAAACGTCACCAAAATTTCCTAGGAACAGCCAACTATATTTACTCCTGTTGAAAAATGCTCTAAGAACATACATAATTTTGGTAACTCTTTAAGTGTGTTAATTTTTCAGTTGTCATTACATTAACCTGAAAATATTCCAATAAGAAGGGGAGGCCCTTTTCATCTGGGCCTACATCTACAACAGAAATTCACACCTACAATAATTAATTAGCTTGTCAATGTTTGTGTGTTCGCCTATACCTATATATCGCACGACATGAAATGCGTGTGAAAGCGACTATTCTTTTCTATTTATTCTCTTTGTACACTGTTCAAGTCATATCCAATTTGTCGGCTGTCACAAACATTCAATGTTAATAACTTAATCAGTTCGGTTGGGTCCAACACTCTCTGCATTAATTCATCCATTTTCGCTATTGTGTGGTGTGTGTGTGCGTGTTTGTGTGAAATACTCCGAATACTGCTAACAAATTCAAATAACCACAAATGCTGCCCATTCAAAGGCTCGTTCTTGTTATTCTAATTTTGAGTGGTTGTCTTACAGCTGTGTTTGGTGGTTTCAATGTTGACCGTAATCTTACCGATTTTAGGCGGCATCGCGAGAAAAGAGGTTTGATATTTGAAAATGGAGGTGCCATTAAGGTAATTCTAAATCTGTAAATGGAATTTTGCAAATTACATTTAGGTTAAGAGAAAATGTGAATATGGAAACGGTAGGCTAGGAACGAGCAGGACACCATGTCGGAAGTTAGAAGATGCTGTTAAGAGGTTATGAAACAGAATGCCATTCTAGTAAATTTTTACATATTTGTAGTCAATTATTTACATATTTGTAGCCTTATTGTCACTAAATTCGATCGGAACTTAGCGGTTCAATTGAATTATTACCAAAGCTAACTCAATTTCATCATGCCAGAGAACTTGTCAGGTACAGATTTTGAAAACTTACCAATTACATTGATGCGGTAATGGTTCGATATCGGAAATATCGCATATAAATATCAAGTTTTCCCTAGACCCGTTGACTTGGTTCTCGGCACATTGACCTAATTTTAACTATTCTTTTTCAACAAATATTAATATTTTAACTCCTAATATATTTTTACAATTTTCTTTAACAGCTTGTAATTGGTCCCATTATGCCCGTTCAGCTGGGAGATCCCATTGTTTGGCGATCCCTTATCTGTTTATATAATATACATGTGGGCGATTATAAGATGCCAAGTACCCCAATTTATCCGTGGGATAAATGGGAGAATATATATGCCAGATCGAAGGCATTTAATGGCAAATTAGAACCGGACTATTCAAGAGAGTTATTGTACGCGGCTCTGGAAGGTTTTATGAATAGACCGCATGGCCATGGTAGGGAATGTCTTTTACGGTCGATTTGTGAAAATGCTCAAATTGATCAACATATGGATTTTTTTGGTGAAATATTAAATGTGATATTGACGTGAGTATATACGGTCTGATGCATTCACAATACTTTATAATAAAATGGAATGTATGCCTTTTTATGATTTCATTCTTTCAGACCCGGTAAAGAAGACTTAGATGAAGATTATCGCAGTGCCTATGAGATGGGTCGAAATGGTGTTAATTGCCTAAAGTATTATATAAATTGTCCCAAAGGAGCAAATATTTTTGATCAGTTTATTCATGAGAGTTAATTGAACTACATTTTTTTTGAAAAGTCTAGATCTCTATGCAATTAAATATCAACAAATCAATACTCATATTCAAACACATTTAGTTTAACTTTTGTTATGTTAAATAAGTAAAAATGCCATTAAGTTTTTATGCGTTCAAAGTCTTTGAACAATTCCTTGGATTATTTTTTCGAAATGAAAAGAACTTGTGTGAGGGAATACCTATCTTCGGAATGGATTGATAGAATGCTGGAAAGCAGAATTATCAACTCATCCTTAGGAGAGAGTTCCGTGAGGAAATCTGTCAACAGAGGCACACCTCAGGGAGGAGTACTTTCCCCCCTTTTGTGGCTTCTGGTGATAAATGAGATACTTATGAAATTCAATCATGTCAGGATAAAGGTAGGCTACCGCCTTTATCCTGCCGATGATGTAGTCTTGCTGGTTGGGGGTAAGTTTATAACGACAATATCAGACATCCTGGAGGGTGCCCTTTCTACTCTGTCTAATTGGGCTTGCACCAAAGGTCTTGGTGTAAACCCCACTAAAATCGAACTGGTGCTCTTAACTAGGAAGCACAAAATTCCTAGTTTCCGTCTGCCATCACTTGGAGGAGTGTCTTTAACCCTTTCTGATGAAGCTAAATATCTTGGCACTATCCTAGACCGCAAGTTACTGTGGAATAGGAATGTTGAGGAACGCTCCAGGAAGGGATTGCCGACACTCTATTCATGCAAGAATTCCATAGGCAAGAGTTGGAGATTGAGACCCGGAATTATACACTGGCTGTACACGACGATCGTCTTACCCATACTTACTTATGGTTGTCTTGTCTGGTGGCAGGGGGTGAACAAAAAGAAACTGCTGACAAAACTGAGCGATCGGCTTCAATTCTGATCACCGGAGCATTAAGAAGTACACACCTTGAATGCAATCTTGAATCTCCAACCATTGGATATTCTGATCAAATTCCAGGCGGCCAGATGCGCCCTGAAACTCTGGGAACCAGATGCCTTGAAATCGCTGAACTGTGGTCATGCCAGCATCCTAAACATAACGCCTGCTTATGACCTCTTTAGGGGAGATAGTCATATCAGTGATTATATTCCCCCCATAGGGACTTTAATGACATCAAAGTTGAATTTCCTAGTAGGGAATCCTGGACTAGTGGCTCCCTCTGCCTCTGCCAGGTCAGTCAATCATCACAGACGGGTCCAAGATGGAGGAAGGCACTGGGGCAGGCGTCTACTGTAGGGAATTAGGTATACAGTACTCATATAAAGTCAACAGTGACTGTAGAGCGTTTTTAACGACATTGAAGGGAATGAAATAGCCGACGAACTTGCTCGAGGGGGGTCACAGTTGTCCAGTCTTCTGATTGAGAGATCTGTGAAACCCCCTATTAGCTATTTCATTGGCAGAATCCGTGCATTCCATTGCGAGGTAGTCGGTAACAGATGGCTAAGGGAACCTGCTGGCCAGAATTCTCTCGTCTTCGCTGCTGGAACACAGCAAGAGAGAGATCAAAATCGTTGTGGGGATTATTACTGGTGACTGCAAAGTTAGATCTCTCACTTCTAAGTGGGACTCCAGTGGATTACTGTCGTCTATTTGAGGACGAAGAAGAACTGGAAACAATTGAGCACATCCTCTGCAAATGTCCATCGCTGATCAGCAGAAGACATAAACAATTTGGATGTTATGAAATTGATAATCTAGTCTTCTTCTCCAAAATAGACCCTAACCAAATTCTAGGCTTTGTCAAAAAATTGACTTGGCTAAAATAATCTCTCTTCCGCCCCCTTTTTTCCCACTATTTTTTCTCTCTACTCTTCCACTATCTTTTTTCTTTTCTTTATTGGTACACTTATACATAAAGGATGATCACAATGGACATAGTTTCCGAGTGGACGGTTGTTACAACCAAACGTACATCCCTAACCTAACCTAGACAAAATTATGCACAGAGTACTGAATTAGGTCTAGATTGATATGTGCAGAGTTTTGTTGAAATCGGTTCAAATTTATATATAGCTACCATATATAGTTTCGTCCTATTTTAGGTAAATGGTGCCCCAAACTGAAAATATTTGCCCATTGGGACAAAATTTTGCACATCGTACGTAATTTAGTTCAGTTTGACATCTGCGAAGTTTTTTTTTAAATCGGTCCAGATTTATATATAGCTCCCATATATATTTTCGTCCGATTTTATGTAAATCATGCACCAAACTCCCAATATTTGTCCGATTTAAACCAAATTTTGCACAGCATACGAAATTATGTCCAGTTTGGTGTGTGTAAAGTTTTGTTGAAATTGGTTCAGATTTACATATATCTCTCATACAAAATTTTGCGGACTTCATACAAATGTTATACCAAAAATTCAAGTCTGCCCGATTGACATGCAATATTTTTATAGATTTCAGAATGTCATGTGTATGGTTTTTATTGGTTCAAATATCTATGTAGATCACATTTGTTTTTTACCCGATTCCATGTATGTCTCTTCTATCAACAGGATATTTTACATAATATAATTTTTTATATGTACTCAAAGTGGTGGAAAGTATCGTATAACCCCGTCCAATTTTTTAACTTTCCTTACTGGTTTTTAGTATAGATATGTGGGGGTGCGGTTATAGGGGGAATACATTTCAACTTTGAACCAAATTTGAATGTATTATGAATAATTTTTAGCACGAAAATGAGCTATAATATAATATGAGAACCCAAAATACTAAATTACAACCAATTCAGACGAAAAACATGTCCAAAATACCGAATCTGCAATTAATTTTTTTTTTATGTCATATATTTTCATTATCAAAATCTGGTCGCCTTAAGAATATTATATGGGTTAAGGTTTGGACATAGCGTCCATAATAATGTCTTGGCATTTTTCCATATTTTGAAGGAAGAAGGGTAATATAATAGTTCTATATCCGGACATAGCTTCCTTATAAAGGTTCCGTCCCATATGCGAACTCATAAGGATTTTGAATGTTTGCATCGCTCTCCCACAAAGACCCCGTCTAATTTTCGGTAACTCAGTTTTCCAAAATGAGAAATTTAAATTTAGTTTTTCATTTTTCCAAAAGAACAACCTACTAGCCGATACCATATGAAGTTCACGACCTTTTTGTATATATTATGAATGTACAATACATTGCGGCAGATATAAACCAGTAAGGAAAGCATTAAAGTCGGACGGGGCCGACTATATGATACCCTTCACCACTTTGGGTATATTCAACAGATGAATCCTAGCAGACGTCGCATTTTTGAAGGACCAGTAAAATGAAAGTGGATCCATAAACCTGTCATTCTGCAACCGATACTAAATTTTTCATTTGGTCAAATATATAAGCTATATCTAAATCTGAACCGATTTCAGGAAACTTAGAACATATAATTTTAGACCTAATTCATTACGCTGTGCCAAATTTCGTACAAATCGAAAGATATATAGGGATTTTGCTGCACCAATTACATGAAATCGGACGAAAATATACATGGGAGCTATATTTAAATCTGAACCGATTTCAGGAAACTTAACACACATCATTCTTGACCTAATTCATTACGCTGTGCCCAACTTCGTGCAAATCGAATGATATATAGGGACTTTGGTGCTCATTTACATTAAATCGGATATATATATATATATATATATATATATGGGAGCTAATATATATGGGAGGTGTATCTAAATCTATATCTAAATCTGAACTGATTTCTTCCAATTTCAATAGGGTTCGTCCTTGGGCCAAATAAGTAACCTATGACAAATTTTATCCAAATCGGATCATAAATGCGACCTGTACTTTTTTCAAAAAAATACATGGACGGACGGACAGACTGATATGTGTAAATCGACTCTGAAAGTGATTCTATGCGTATTCTCAAAAGGAACCATGTGTCTATCTCGTTTCCTTTTACCCGTTACAAACATATGTTCTAAGATATAATACCCTGTACCACAGTGTGGTGAAGGGTATAAAAAATTCGCCCCGTTCAACACTAAATATGATTAAAATTGATTATAATGTATTTCATACACAATCATTTAAATCTATCATGAAATGCGGCTACAAACGATTTAAGCCCAGTATATAAGAGTCGATAATAAATTAAAACCGATATGAATACATTGTAATTGCTGAGTTGGAATATAAATTACTTAATAAATTTTAAACTAAATTTTCTACGGCTAAATACCTAATTCTCCTCTTTATGTGCGAGTGTGTGTGCGACAGTTTCTTTGTAAAATTGTGTGCGGTTGCAGGTGTATTAATGAATAAATAATAAATACATCAATCCTTTAATATTTAATGAATGAATATTTTGCTGTAAATTCAAAAATTTAATTAATAACAGAGCAACAGAATCCAGAATATGTATGGCAAAAGATTAAGGTCAACAGGTCAGCCTGTCTTTCTCAAATTTTGAAATATAACACGAGAGAGGAACACACGCACACAAACATAACTTTTCATACAGCCGAACATTTCTACATCTTGGGTACACACAGAGGACTTTAACGTGACACATACAAAAATATCCCACAACACAAATAAAAACCGAGTATATACAAGGTATGGAGGCTGCTACATTACTAGACAAAATATATCCCATTGTACAAACAAACATACCGTAGTATATAACGGCAACTTGGTTACCTTCGAACAAATTTGGGTTATTCCACCGAGACACATAAAAACCAGATGAGTAATAACAGGATGGAGCAGGAGGACTAGCAACCGGAGTATCACCGTTTGCCCAACTGTAGTGTAAACAGCCAGCCGAACATGAGACCATAAACACAAACTAATGGCTGAGAATGAAATTCGGTCGCACTTACATACATGTATATTTAGATTTGCCTGTTTGTGTCTGATGACATGTCATGTGTACCGAGATAGACTGGTATCTAGGATGAACAAACAAAGATAAATAAACAACTGCATGTACATACACACATACATTTGTACATTTAAGAATAGCAATTGTTATCTATG